CGGTTCAGATCCAATAGCGAAGGCGGTAACAGATCCAAAGGCGTCGGCCACGGTCATGGCGGCGGCGAAGGCGGTACAGATCCAACGGAGACGGAGGTACATATTCGGCTCGAACGTCAAAATATTATGGTCCAAACGTTGTGTTCGATTTTAGCATTAGAAGAGTTTAGGGTTGTTTGATTGGGGGATTTATACTCCGATTCGAATCATAGTTCATGATTTATTACAGTATTTTTTCTCATAAAAAATACACATAAATCAAAAATAATTCTAATCTTATGATTCTAATCCATGGTTCCGTTTTTGTAAAAATGGCGGGGGCTAGAGGAGCCTGGATGGTGTTTTTTTTTTTTTTAATTTAAATTTATTTTTAATTTAAGGGAAAAAAGTGAAAGGTGACTTTTGGTTTCCATCCTCCGTTAAAGTCATTGGATGGAAAGGATTTGAGACAGCATTTTTGGACAGGCGATCTCAGTCCTTTGCAATGGGACATCTGTGTCGATTTAGAAGAGCACAGCTGAGAACGTGACACACATTGACACCAAAAATCTGACACCTCCCACTTCTCTGTTTCTCTCTCTGCGCTATCCAATTTTATAATCCTAAACATTTGCCGCAATTAGTGACCTTCACAGATAACGTTTTATTTTTATTTTATTTTATTTTGGGTACGAACGTTCTACATTTCTAATACGATATTACAGCTAACCACCAAATAATCACCCATACAATATACGTAAAAATCTCGTAATAAAATCTACATATTGTAATAAATTGGATTTTATTCGATACTGTTACTGCATCAGAATACTAGTATTTTTTATTTTTATAAAAAAACATGTGTTACTCATGATTGGCCTTAGAAAAACAACAAACACCCCTTTAAATTTCGCGATAACTTTACCTTGATGCATAGAGACAAATTCATTTTGCTCCTTTTTTAAGTTACAACTCAGAATGACACAGCACTTCTCAAACTTATTATAATTTAAGTAGTTTTACCAATAAAACTTTAGTTTTTAAGATAATATTGAAGGGGCAATAACGTTTCGGGGATTGTAATGTAAAAAGAAGAATAGACACCTAAAATTAGAGGAGACAAAATTCGCGACTTAATTTTTAATTTTTGTGAAATTTTAAAGACCCCATTTAATTTTAATTTATTATGATAAAAGTCTAATTTTATTGTACTTTATCAGATAATAAAATAATCTGAACATGATTAAACTCGTTAAAAAATTATTAACTTTTTAAGAGAAATACCAAAACGTGTCATTTGAAATTGTAAGGACAAAATGACACAACCCTTATTTTTTTTAATCGTGATTTTTGACAGAGCATCTAGAAAAGTGTAATTTTCAATTTGTAGGGGCCAAATTGAAAATATTAATCGTGATTTCTAACGAATGTGCATCTAGAAAGAAGTCTTTGATGTGTCTACATATTATATATGCATGTGAAGTGCAGCTCATTAGCAGGGCATAGCAGTTTTCTAACAAAAGATTCTCTCTATTATTTCTTCTGGTGTTGTGTCCGATAGACGATAGAGAGTGAAGTGAGAAGAGAGAAGAAACTGATCATATTGAGAGTTGAGACTAATATGGAGAGCACTTTGAAGGATATTAGAGATGGAGCTTCGGTTCTGGACATGGACCCGAAATCCACGGTCGGTGGCGGCGTTGAGGACGTGTACGGCGAGGATCGTGCCACGGAGGACCAGCTCGTCACCCCTTGGACCTCCTCAGTCGCCAGGTAAAACCATCAACATGAGTTCGAACGCAACTTGATTTTCTAGCTTGAATTTTGTGTTTGATGGGTTTTAGTGGCTTTTGTAACTGGTTAAAGCTCTGCAATATTTGACCTCCATATATATATATATGTATATGTTTTTTTTGGTTTTGGTAAAGAGATTTTCACAACGTTAGTTCGGTTCAAAATCACGTTAAAATTTAAATCTGCGCAAAATTAGCAGGGTGTATCAGATTTAACGGTTTAAAATAGAGTAAAATAAGCTCTTTTTTATTCTCGTCAAAAGTATGTATAGTGTTTGATGCTGTTTTTACTTTTGAGATTCCTGGTTTTGGCTACTTTTTTTTTTGTTGTTTTCCCATGTTTTTAATTAGTTCAGTTTCTGAAAAAGAACAAATAAAAAGCTTGGTTAACTTACACACCGCTGACTTTATAAGTATCTTTGTTCAAAGTGTTTTCTTTTTTTTTCTTCTTTCTGTTATTATTTTACTAAGCTTTATGGGATCACCATAAAAAGGATGTTGATCCTAAGCTTCTGTTATTTCCCCTGCACAAAGTGTTCTGTCACATGATTCTCAGCTGTTACGAATAATCTAAACTTTGGGGCATTTTCGGCTATAAAGTTTTCTGATGATCCATTTTGATCTGGGTTGTCTTCAAATTCTCTTAAATTCTTAGGCCCCACTTAATTTGATCTTACTATTCTGACCAACCAAATGAACTAATAGAAAAGACAATGCAAAAATTAAAGGGGAAAAATTCGAATCAATTATATAATATGTGAGCACTTGGAGATTCTAGCACATATTCATAATTTGGGATTTGTGCGCAGTGGATTTTCTTTGCTGAGAGATCCTCAATACAACAAAGGACTCGCATTTACTCAGCAAGAGAGAGACGCTCATTACTTGCGTGGTCTTCTTCCTCCAGCTACTGTCTCTCAGCAACTTCAGGTTTGTGGTTTTGAAACTAATATAAGCTCATAATTAATGCCCCTTCATGGCAATTGACTTTCATAAGTGTAATGGTTGACTCTTGTTGATCATTTTTTTTTCGCTCGATGTTCAAATTAACTAAACCAGGAGAAGAAGTTGATGGAAAGCATCCGACAATACCAAGTACCTCTCCAAAAATACATTGCCATGATGGAGCTTCAGGTAGCTTTCCTCTTATATCAATAAATTTGAAGTTGTCAAATATAGAGTATGTAGAAATTAGAATGAAAATGTTACAGATTTGAACAGTCTATTCCTTTACTAACAACAGGAATAAGATGAAGAAAAGCGATCAAGCACACACATAAGATTTATAGTGGTACACCTTTAATGTGAGAGCTACGGCCAATTTCAGCCGCAGTAGGTTTTCACCATGATGAAAAAGAAAGTTACAGGGGATCACACACCTTGAGCCTCTTAGACGCAATATGTGTAATCAGGGCACACAAATATATATGAAAACGTAAATATGCTCCTAAGAATTTGGGCTTGGGGAATTCTTGTGCCAACTCTGCATCAGGTCGAATTAGGTTCTGCACACCCAACAAAAAATGCCAAGAATCACTCACCATTGGATTTTTAAGCAGTTAAAAGTTGCCATGCACAAAAGTGTGGCTCTCAGTGTCATGATCTTTGAGTCTAAGAGTGACATAATTTGTACCAAATTAACTGTTGATATGTAACATTCTTCATGTTGTATTTGCAAACTTCTTGGCATGATGTAATATTTTTTTCTGTTTGCAGGAGAGAAATCAAAGGCTATTCTACAAACTTCTCGTTGACAATGTTGAGGAGTTGCTACCAGTTGTTTACACTCCAACTGTTGGGGAGGCTTGCCAGAAATATGGAAGCATATTCAAGCGTCCTCAGGGTCTTTACATCAGTTTGAATGAGAAGTAAGTACATTTATTTTACGCATAAATTTGCATAATTTATAGTTTGGACTGAAATTGATAGTCTTTGACTTTTGAAGGGGCAAAATTCTGGAGGTACTGAAGAATTGGCCAGAAAGGAGTATTCAAGTTATTGTTGTGACTGATGGTGAGCGTATTTTGGGACTTGGGGACCTTGGTTGTCAGGTAATTTGTTCTGAATTAAAATATTATTTTAGTTCTTGGAATCATTGTGCCGTTGTGAAATGATCTCAAAAAGTGGACTAGGCGTCTCAATCGTGATTTTAAATGTGTTGCAGGGTATGGGAATTCCTGTA